CAAAAATATTTTTGTATATATAAATAAAATATACATGCAGAATTTTTTTATATGTACAGTAAAACAACGTGAACAATTATATTAATTTTTTCTATTTTATTTAATTGTTTTTGGTTTGTTTGTATAAAAAAAAAAGGAATGAATTTTTTTTATTATATATTCACTGTATATCAAGAAATTTAATAACCCCATAACGTTTCTTAAAATTTAAAATAAATGAAATTTTTAAAAAAAGTTGTTGCCTCGTATATCAATAAATTATAGCAAAGAAAAATTGCTATGTAATAATTCTAAAGTAATTTTTTTTAAAAAAATTTAAGAAGTATCGAACTGTTTCTAATTCTTGGGTTTAAATTTGAAACCATACTAAATAAAGTTTGTGTATTGTCCTTGTGACTCGCATAATTCATTATTGACCAAATTTGTATTTATTATAAAGAAGTCCATTTATTATAGAAATCCTTAATCAATTAATTTTCTCCATGGCAAGTTCAAAATTATTTCTTGGAACTTTATCAGAACTGACAAGTCATATTATCCAATATTTACGAAGAAATTTAGGAACACTTCATTCATGCATATTAGTAAATCGACTTTTTATCAAATTACGATTCCTATACTTTGGGAAGATCCATTTTCAGTTGAATTTACAAGAGAACGAAATTATAATTTTTTTGATATATATTTTTCATATTTAATTGATAACGATAAAAAACGTTCATCGGACATTAGAATTAAAATCAATCCACCTCTATTTATAAAACCTAACCTAGTTTTATTAAAACCTTAAATATATGTCGATTGAAATTGTATACTGATAATTTGACAAATGATATTGGTACATCAACGACTCCAAAAAGTAATTTGATTTGTATTTTATTATTCAAATTATTTATAGATAGTAATGTTTCTTTAAAAAAATTTTTTATGTATTTCGACAGATTTCAAGGTTTAATGACAGAAATTTATAAAATAATGTTAATTAATGCAAAATTTATGTCAAATGTTGAAAAACTTCACCTATGGATAGAGAAGAATCAAATATATCCTACAAGTTTTTTAGCAACTTTATCATCATTAATACCTTCAATTAAGCATCTTAGAATTCGTGCTAATAAAAACAATTTATTTGCAAGAAATCTAATTCAATCGCAAGTACAACTATTATCTCTTTCACTTAGCAAATTGAATGGCATTGATTTCCTAGATTCATTTAAGTGCTATAATACTTTAACTTCAATTAAGTTTGTTAATTGTAATTTTGCAAATAATTTTACATATGATGGGCTAAAAAATTTCACACAACTTAAATCACTTCATTTCAATAAATGTGATGGCATTACAACTCAATTCCTTCAACCATTGTTGGGCATTAACATCCCATTAAAAATCAAATCGTTAAAAGTAGTTGGTTTTATTCGAGCTCTTGATTTATTACTTCAAAAAATTGGTTCACATTTAGAAAATTTAGAATTAGATCTAATTGTTGATAATGAAGCTTATTTTGCAAGCATTATGAGATATTGTGATAAAATCAAATTTTTATACTTATATAACATTCATCAAAATAATTTCAATCGATTAAATGAGTTGATTACTCATTTTAGCAAAAGTCTTAGATACCTCTCTATTAAAAATGATATATTTTGCTTTGGTAATCGAATAACTATTAGCATTATAACAATGATTTTAAAAGTTCTGGATCAAATGATACCTGATTCTCTGGAATATTTAAATTTAGATTTCACGCTTCAACCAAATGACTTAAAAGTCTTTTTAGATAATTGTCGACACGTTGGATAAAAAAAATTATTAATTAAAAAATAACGCTAAAGATCTTATTGATGAGACTTTTAGCATTTTAAAAGAATTTGTAGAAAGGAAAAAGGTAAAATATTTTGCTTACAAAATCGGTTGCATTTATAAACAAGACGATCTTGAATATATAAATTTTGAAAATATGATAAAGTTGTCTAGAGAAGTTCAACCTTTTGTGAAAATGAGAATGTATAGTGATTTAATTGTGACGATTGAAGATTTTGGTGGCACATTTTGATTTAGTTTATGAAGTTAATTCATTATCTGTATCTAAATAGAAAAAACAAATATATATCATCGGATGTCACGATTTAGCTTGAAAAGTCCTTTTTTTTTATTTTTATTTTTTTTTAAAAAAAAAATTTATTATTTCTGATTGTAGGAAATATTTTATTTTAATAATTTGTATATTTTATTTTTTTCATTTTGAATAAAATTCCAACACTTATTTATTTTGGTATTTCATCAGTGTATTTTCAAATTTTAATGAAATAATTTTGACTTTGCGAAAATTCAAAACTTATGAAATTAATTTTTTGGTTTTGTATTACATTTTCACAAAAAAAATATTCGCGTCAGGTGAAAAAGGAATTTCTTCATTTTAAAATATTTTGAATATTAAATTTTCATTGTATATACTTTTTACATAAACTAAATTTGAGTGAGGCAATGGAGTAAAAATATAAAGGCTTGCAAGAGTATTGATTCATAAACTTTAAGAAAAAGTTAAAAAATTTATTATAAATTAGCGATAAATTTATAAACTATTATGATAAATTCTATTTTAATTCTATTTCTGTATTAAAAAATTGATTCTGCTCTGAGAATTAAGTCCCTTGAAAACTGCAAATTCTAGTTAAATACTTTAAATTGCAAGTTTAACACCTTTTAAAATTGTCCAAAATTATTATGGCAACCAATAAAGGTTGCCGAAATATATAGATCATTCCATACCACTTGTCATATCTTAGCAACAGCAGTGGGAACAATGGGAAGGAATAGGAATTAAAATTACATTGATTTGATTATTATAGATAACAGTTTATAAAACACGCAAGCGAAGAACCATTAGTATTACTTTTAACTTTTTTCATTTGTGAAAAAATATATTATTATTATAATGATATAAATATAAAAGTTAGGCGTAAAAGAAAATAAAGGTGGATACTTATATAAATACAAGGCTTTTACACTCTTAAATGTTACGTCGATTTGCACACATTATATATTTGAATTCAATTTGTACGTCACAAATATAAAAATTTGTAAATGAAACTCGTTCACCAGTTATATAAGGTTTAATTGAAACCTAGATTATGCTTCTTAACTTTACGTTTCTTGCATACGCACTATTATTAATAAAACCTTTTTAATAAAAGGTTTAACTGACAATTCATAAATTTTTATGAGAAAGGGTTATTTCAGAGATAAGACGGAAAGTTGTAGTGTATGGTGTATAATTGATGCTGAGTATGACTTTTTATACTTGATTTCTAGAAGTTAACGTTAATATTGGCAGGTTTAGGCCTGTTAGTATAACAAAAATATACTCAAAATCATTTCGCGTGATATTCTATACTCATTTAGTAGACTGTATCACTCTATTTCAGGAGATTTAAACTGACTTTCAAATGATTTGTAGAAAAAGTTTATTATTTCAGATTTATCTAATCTTAAAGGAAAAGGCTGTTTACAATAAACTTCATTTCAAAAAAGGTCGACTGATTCATAAGTCAGTCATCAAACTAAGTCCTGACATATATCAGAAATTGAGAAAAATAATAGCAGATAGATCAAGGAAAAAATAAGAAAAAAGAATTTAAAAGAAAAATCAAATTATATATGAAACTAAGGAAACACATACTGCGTAATCCTAAGCACCAAAAAGCAGTAAAAGAAAAATAAAATGGGTGGGTTGGTAAGAAGCAGTATCAGTTTTTTTAAAATTTAATAACTTCAATAGTAAAAGTTTTTGTAAAAATCTATTTTTTAACAATTAATTTTTTTTTTATTATACGAGTTCAAATGCGCTTCGATTAATCGAACCGAAAATCGAATCTCGAGATTAATCGATTTACATTTTGGAATCGATTCCAATCCTTAAATATAGATTCCTATTCTGATATAAATAATTCTTATGAAAAAATCAGTGTTAACATGAAATAGAATCATTTATTATAAATAATGTGCACATATGACATTGACTTTGGTGAGGCGAAAAGCGTTGCTGGAGAATAATACAAGTTAAATGATGTTAATTGTTTTATTTTGATATATGTGTGACATGGTGTGACGTGTGATTTTGTAGTAGTTTATATCGGTATTGCCTCAATTAGAGATGGGACTTTTTAAGTTTTTAAATATTAATCTTAATTTATAAGTAATTAATAAGTACTTATTAATTAAATCACGATTTTTTATTTTTTAATCTATGTAAGTTAAGTTAATAAGTGTTAATAAATAATTAATAAGTAATTAATTGTTGCATCATCTTCATCAGCAGGGATGAAATCAATTAGCTTAACATTAAAATCATCAGCTTTTGTCTTAATGCACAATTCTACTGATTTGGACTGAAATTTAACAATATTATTCTCAAATAGTATGCAAAAACATTCTTTTCTAATACTTCATCAGCTTTCTCAACATTATTGAAAAATTGTAAATATTTTATATATTCAAGCTCTTTGATGGTCAATAAAGAATTGATAATTTGGTACGCTTCTTTATGATATTTTTGTTTTGAGAAGATTTGTGCATTTATAAGTTTTTTCTCAGTAATAATTAAGATTGCCTGTTTAATACCTGCAGGAAAAGAACTATGCAATTAATCCTAAATAAAATTGTATAAACTCAAACCAATTCTTATCTTTAAATGCATGTCTAGCTAGAAATTCGTCAGCAACAAACATTAGATCAATAAAACGTTTGCTAACTAACTCATAAAAAATTTGCTGCTTTTTCTTTGATTTTACGTTTGTTGACTAGATATTCTATTGACTCTTCCTTAGTAAGATCGCGAATTTCAATCAGTTGATTAGCTCGTGAGTAGGAAGAATTATCTAAATAGGAATTGCAAAATAAGTCACACTATTTCTTAGAGAGAAAAAATAATGCCTATATTTACTTTCCATTATTTTTGGAACTGAGCCTTCGCTGCTGACAAACACTGCAATTTATGTTCAGCTATCAGCATTATCTTTGGCATCATTTTGAAGGATACTAATTGTTTCTGGATCTAATCGGCTAACGTTATCATACACAATAACCATAGGTCTATCATATTTGACATTATACGCTTTAGCAGTTCGTTTAAAAGCTTTCAATGCCCTCACCTATTTCGGACCGTCAGTTCGTCTATCAAGAATTATAAAATGCAGCGATGGTATAAACTCACTATCAATATTGCCCAATATTCATCTCAATTGATTAAAAGAAAAATCCTTCTCAAATGCAAAGTTGATAGCTTAGCTTTACCAAATGCTTCTCCAAAATCATTAACAACATCGACGTATACAACGCCATGACCAACTTCTCTTAATGCAAGTCTTATCAGTGTAGTCTTACCGGTTCTATGTTCACCACAAACTGTATAATAACGCGACTGATTTTTGTCTGGTTGGAAAATAGCTTTGAGGTGGTTTAAAATTATAGGTCGAGGAAAAAGTTCATCATCTGAAAAGTTAATTTTAGTTCGAATGCCTTCCTCTACAGTTTTGATTAGACGATTATCATTGTATCTATTTCGATAACAAGCAAGATAGACTCTTGTAGATAGAATAGACTCTTGTGCAAAAATAACCAAGTATACCCAGTAAAATTGAAATAACGCCTAACCAAAAGGCAAGCCTACAAATAGTAAGAAGGTGATTAGAAATTCCAGAAATAGTCGAAAGCAACAAATATACTTGTACTATATAGTATAGGGGAAAAGTAAACTCAGTAAACTCTTCAGAAGCGTGGAAGGATGAAGAGATTGTAATTGGTTCTGAAAAGAAATAAAAATAAAAAATATGATGTAAAGTCAAAAATATAAACATAATTATAAATATATTTGTTTTGCATTGCACTCGACACCTAACGAAATGGAGAATTGGAGGGTAATATTGGTAAAGTATTTAGTAATGGAATGAAGAACACATTAAGCAGAAAATAGTTAGGGAATGTGAAATTTTTTCATCATCTATCGCACAATTACATCACGATCGATAAATCACGTGACAACCATATATCAAGACATGAATATTTTTTTCGCATTTGCTAGGAAGCGACTCAGAGCTTGCAAAACTACTATAATATCTATTTTTTTTCCAGAAATTTCAAGGTCCTATTAGGCGGAGAACTTAAACTTTCAGTGAGTTTTACTAAGGTCAGTACTGTTAATTTATTACTGATTCTGGCAATGTTCTATGCATAACTGACGACTTTATTCTGGGAATTTTGTTAGTATATAGAGCTTAGATGGACGAAACAACGGCAGGCATTAGTATAGAAACGCCATTTCACTTTGTAAATCAAGT